GGGTGATGGTAGTTTGAAGTCAGAAGTCAACTGCTGGTTAATAGATTTTTTGCCTTATGAGTATAAGTTGCCCAGGGTGTACCACGTGGAGGTAAGTCTATCGCACACCCCTGCATCCGATATTGCCATTATGGCCTTACTTAATTAGACAGCAATGTCTTCATTTTAAATTGATGGCAAATTGTGCTAACCCACTGCGATTCTCATCTCTCCAATTCTCCCCTTTCTTAGGGCAATCTCGATCCTTGCGCGTTGTATTCTTCGAGCGCCGACCTTGAGAAACGTGTGGAACAGATGTTGAAGAACTTCGGAAGCATTGGTGGCGGGAGTCACAGGCATATCGTGAACCTCGGTCATGGAATCTATCCCGATGTTGATCCTGAAAAGGTGACAACTTTTGTAGAAGCCGTGCATCGACTCACCGCAAATGAGAATTACGTTACCAACAATGGTGTTTAATAAGATGGCACCGCATACCATCGTCAGGGCTAATCATTTTTTTGTTTGCTATATTTGTGTAATTAGTTGTTTCCAAAAATATGAGTAGACTCCTACTGGACGTATATTGCGAATAAAATTGAGTGGATATATACATTAGTTGCTTTAACTTTCTCTCTTCAATACTCTTTACTTATTTCTTATGACCTTTTCTATTGCTAACCTTATCTATATATATATGGTGTGCCTTACTGATTATCTAATTAGCGACCGCATATTTTCAATGAAATTGTCGTATTAGGTCCGTTGATTCAATTAATTGTGATAAGTTATGGAAAACAGGAGGAAGAACAAGAAAAGGAATGGTAGCTCAGTGGTTAATTTGTGTTGAGTGAGGAGGTGATGTAGTACGTCAGGGTAGGAGGGAACTGAGAGAGAGAGGTGCAAAAGGTGTGGCCTCGGATATCTCCATTTGAGGAAACTGAACTCTAGCGAGGCTCATCCGAGGTTTAGTAAAGTAGATCGTCTTCCCACGTAGAATCACGGTAGTTCTCTACGGTAAAAACGTGAAGCCAATCGTAGGATTAGGTAATTGTATTGAGATAGTGGCAGGATCAAGCATTTAATTGAGGTCAAGAGAATCAGTTCCCAGAGATTTTTAATGGCTTAGGTAAGGCATTTAAAAACACAAAGGAATACATCATACAAACCGGACACTAAAAATTCCACAATAGTGCCAACCCCTGTAGTCTCCGGTAGGAATTTAATGAAGACTGGGGGGGGGAGGAATTCCCAAAACCCACTCCCCCCCCCCTTCTACAAAATGGAAGAATGGTTAAAGACATGCTTCTTGATAGTCCTACATGGTTCCGTAATGGCATGAAACTGGAAGGAGAGAAAAAGGCAAAATGCGTGAATAAAAGTTGGATACTTCGAGCAATTAATAGTACAACGGAAATGAGTCCCTTGTATTATTAAACATTAACATTGTTACGCAACTGAAGAGCGTGATTAATAAAAAACCAACTGCCTGAACCCCCAGTGTCTAACAAATCTCTCCTACTTGGAAACTCTGATAAGGTGGAATGGGTATCAGGTGATTTCCCAACTGTCAGTCTCGCTTCCCCCTGCCTACTCATGAAATTGGTCTCCATGACAGTGCCACATGTTTCCGTGGTGGCAAGTGACGAGAGTCCGACAAGACAGAGACTGTAAGAGCAGTGCTCATTTTAAGTGCTTCCTTAATTTGNTGGATACTTCGAGCAATTAATAGTACAACGGAAATGAGTCCCTTGTATTATTAAACATTAACATTGTTACGCAACTGAAGAGCGTGATTAATAAAAAACCAACTGCCTGAACCCCCAGTGTCTAACAAATCTCTCCTACTTGGAAACTGTGATAAGGTGGAATGAGTATCTAGTGGTTCCCCAACTGTCAGTCTCGCTTCCCCCTGCCTACTCATGAAATTGGTCTCCATGACAGTGCCACATGTTTCCGTGGTGGCAAGTGACGAGAGTCCGACAAGACAGAGACTGTAAGAGCAGTGCTCATTTTAAGTGCTTCCTTAATTTGCTCCTCCTGGAGTGAACTGTGGTGTCAGTGTCAGGTGAGTGGGTATATGACGGTGGCAGCAGCAGAAGTAGACCTCGTGACAGTGGCGTTGCATCCAAGAATTGTACCTTAAAGGAGTCGGACAACTGAGCAGTTGTGAAAGTGAAGAGGGACTTGTGATGAGGAATGTGAAATGAGAAATGGAAGGCGAGTTGAGATGCATGTGGTTCTGTTTACAGACCCATTTTGGTTTGTCTCCAACTTCGATTTCACTTTGGCGATGCTAATTTCAAGTAGTGGATTCTTGTAGCACCTGGAGTGTTTTGACAGGAGGTGTGGAGTCTTTAGTCAATTAATCATAAAATAGATGCTAACATTACATTGTTTGATCCTTGATACATGCACACGTGATACATATATACCATATGTCGCCTCTGAGTTGAATGTGCTTGCACTTTACTATTAAGGGATAACTTTCATCAAAATAACTAATTGTTGTGAATCTAGTAATTCTATGCTATTTTTAATGATTTTTGATAAATAAATAAATATACATAATAATTGTGCTTGAGTGAAAGTGAGTCAAGTGGTTCTATTTTAGGCGAAAGTGGAGAATTTGGTGTGGAGATAAAATATGCGTAGCATTTGCGTGTTTATGCAACGCTTTAGTGATTCCTTCCACACTTCCAGCTTCGTGTTGGATGCGGCATCAAAATCGTAGGCTTAATCGCACAAAATCTACTAGCAGCTAGGGACTTACTTCTTGTGGACTGTTTTTATTTGTCTTGGTCATTAGAAGAGGCAAATTATTGATTTCCTGCCCCCCTTAGGCTCTGCAATTCGTGGGCAAGAAATCAATCAAAAGTTGTACACTCGAAGATGAGATAGCGAACTAGGCATATCCAGGACTTAATTCCCCCCCCCAACCCAACCCAATCCATCTTTTGAAAACGCATCTGTGGACCGCGCGATAGATTTGTTTTGTTTCGACGTATTTGACTTCTAATTAAGTCACACCTGAGCATTTCCAATCAAACGCTTTGTTTAGTTTACCTCGATATCACGGGCGGGATTTAAGGGGAGATGACGCATAATGGAACTCGGAGGAAAACTGAGTCTGGGGTGTATTTTGCCATTTAAATCATCTCTCACTCCCTAAACTTTCTTGGTCGCTGCCTAGTTTAAAGGTCATCTTGCGGCAAGTCATGTTTGAACGCGGATTATCGGAAGAATTGAGAAGGTTCTAAAGTCGACTGAAAGACGAAAGAGAGTTGAGACGGATTTGCTCTAAAGGAATTCTCCACTTCCTCCATCATATTTTCAATTCACTTTTTTGTTCCCAATTGTTGATGTTGAGGGTTTTAATTGTATTTCCCTTCATTACTAAATACATATTGGTGGTGTTAAAAGGTCAATTTAATTACGCCTTGGGTAATTGGGTGTTATTGATGGACAACATTGTTCTGCTTGATTTTGTTTAGAATTTTAAAGTAAGTTCTTCCTGTTCCTTTCAGTACAATCGGTGCCATCACCTATGGAATCTCCATGTATTTAGGCAAACGAACTACTCCAACTGTAATTACACCTCCCCAACCGAAAGCCTAGATCTTCCAATCCTGATCAAACATATTTCCAATTCTTTTTGTATTTGTGAATACTCTTTTGCAAAGTGCTTCCTCTAATATGTATATGCATTGAATATTCCTTTTTTATTGACCTATGCTTCATTGACCTGACCTTTGTGTGATGGCTCGTGCTTGGTATCTTTCGACTGTTGTTTGATGTTGGAAGAGGTGCTTCTGAGTGAAGACGAGGCATCGCACCTTCAAGTGACCATCTCAATCCAAGGCGAAGAGTAATCAAATCTTCTTATAATTTACCTACCAACATGTTTCATGTGTACTGGAAGAAAAGATGTATTACGAGTTGTGTGTGTGTGTAGGCTTAAAAATTCCAGCCAAATTTTCGCCTATTTAGTCTGAAGCATTCGTATCATCACGTTAATGAGGAAAGGAGAGGAGTTGGTTTCGTGGCTGGCTTATTGATTGAGGTGGAGAGTTTGACTTGTCGGCCAAAATCATTAAATGGACAGTGGAGTATTATAACTCTTGACGGCATTTAAATATGTCGTGGAATGTAGGGCATGGACCTGCTTAGAGCACTGGTTATATGGGTGGCAAAATGGGTGTTGCAGGGCTGTGGGATTTGGAGTGCGTTAATTCACTGCGAATGCTCTCTGAACACTCATTTCCACACCCCCAAAACACTTGTGTGGGTAGTGTATGCTCCTTCGGCTAGATCCCCTTGGTCGTGGATTTACCGCACTTGCATCAAATCTTGTAGCGTGATGCGTTGTCTCAGCACAGGGGCTCTGACGTCTAGACGTATGCGTAGACGCGTTTTGTGAGATATTTGAGCAAATCTCTGTATTGGCGTTCTTAAACGTCATCTCTATCGTTTCCTTCCCATTTATGTGAGAAACATTGTGCATTGGCACTCTGTCTGCCCTAGTCTAATCCTTGCATTATGGTGAGCTTTTTACTGTCAAAACCACAGTTCAGGCAGCTTTGCTGTAAGTTTTGAGCTCTCCTTGAATAGACTAACCTGTCTGAAACAGGGGTGTGGGATAGACTTACCTCCACGTGGTGCATCCTGGGCAACGTATCAATAGACTTACCTCCACGTGGTGCACCCTGGGCAACGTATATTCATACGGCAAAGTCTATTAACTGGTAGTTGACTTCTCCACACAAGGCAAAAAGTCTATAAACTAGCAGTTGGCTTCTCACCTCAAACTTCCATGACGACCACTACCCAGTACTCATCTTATCTTACCATTTTCTCTGTGAATCGCTCTTCTTTTCCCCCTCTCGAATTATTCTCACTTTAATGTTCCTTCCATCTATGAAACCCGAAGTCAGTTAAAAGGGCTAATGAGGACCATCAAAACGCCTGCCATTCGAATTAAATGAATGTCTGAAACAGGAGAGAGAGAAAGTTTTTGGTCGAACATCTCATTAGAGAAGCAGAATGCATGTGATGTGCGTCGATTGCATTTATTGAGGGCAGTTGGACAGCCAAGTGCATTCATGTGTGGGCAGGTATGTGTCAAGTTGGTCTGGACTAATGATAGCCAATCATCATCTCATGATTATAAAATCTTGCACATGTTAATCTGTGTGTTCGCGAATTGGATATTAAGGTGCGTGCTTGCTCTCTGTGGGTCAGCTTATAGAGGATGTAAAACAGGAACATGACTAATCAGTAATTGGGTGGGTGATTCAAACCGGGATACATATCTAGTTGGTGGTTGGTATAGCAATAGGTGCACATTAATAAGACGCCCCTCTGATTCATTATCTTAATTAGTGGAAGCCTTAGATATGGTTTGGGCACTTTCAGTGATCAGGTTGAAGGACGAAAGTGGGGAATAATTCGGACAAACAGCAACTCGTTCTGGTGACCAATCGACGATTTTTTAAATTCACTAGCAGCAATTGCCTTCCTAGTTAGTTCTGATCCAAGATTATGCAAGTTAATGACTAATCAATTTAATATATTTCAACTAATTTGCAAGGCTTTTCGAGTCATTTGATTTTTTCATTATGCAACCCCCCCCCCCACCCAGCTAAAAGTTTAAAGCAATAAACAGCGTACTTTTTTAAAGAGTACACATTCATAGTCAATTTAATGGTCCCACATCCGATCTGGCTTTGCACAAATCCCTACTAGGTTAAATATCGCTCCTTTATTTATTTACATATATCAAATGGCAGGCGTCTTGAAGGTTATCATTGGCCCTTTAGTTGACTTCAGGCTTCACAGAGAGGAAGGTACATCAAATAGACAAAAGGTGGAGAGGGGGGAACAGAAGAGTGTTTCAAAGATGCAAAAGTGACAGACACAAAGGTGAGGTGAGTACTGTGAAAATATTCCAATATGGTATCGAGTGAGATGATGGTGGTTTGAAGTGTGAAGTCAACTGCCAGTCAATAGACTTTTTGCCGTATGAATAAACGTCACTCAGGGTGCACTACGTGGAGGTAAATCTATCGCACACCCCGCTATTAGATATTTGATCATATACGCAAAAGAGTTTATTAACTGGCAGTTGACTTCTAACTTCAAACTACCACCATCCCACTGTTTGTCATATTCGACTATTTCCACAATACTCACCTCACCTTACCTTTTCTCTACCTTTGTGTCTGCCTCTTTTACATCTTTTAAACACTTCCCTCTCCCCTCTCGACTTTTTTTTCACCTTGATGTTCCTTCCCCTCTGTGCAGCCAGAAGTCAACTAAAGGGCTAATGATAACTATCAAAATGTCTTAATAAGTATAATCTATTATTGATATTGTGGTTCAATGAGTTTTAGAGGGTAATTAGACTGCTAGACCCATGATTGTAATTACAATAATATTGGAAGAAAACTCGAGTCAGTGGAAGCTTGTTTGCAGCGACCCCTCAAGTGGACGTTGAACAGCGCTGATTTATTTCCAATTCCGGTGGACTTTAATCCTTCAGATTTTTTATGCAAAAAATCGTGAAAAAGATATAAAGGAGTCATTTAAACAGTTTGATTATTGTTTCTACTGGAAATTTTAAAATTACATAAGAACTCCAGTTCGTCACTGAAGCGCTTCCCCTACGCCCAACTTCTATACGCGTCAATTATTGGAAAACTCTTTTCCTGTGGATTTGGGAGGCATAACTCTAAAATCAGCAAAATTCTTTAAATTTCATACACTTCAAGCCTATCATCTCCGTTCCTTCATCTTATCCTCCAACTCATTATTTAAATGCGATAGACTTACCTCCATGAGTTTTCCAATAATTGACGCGTATAGAAGTTGGGCGTAG